AGATGTGTATAAGAGACAAAGCTGGAAGGGGCTAAAATCACAATCCCATCAACCAATCACAGCTGGAAAGTGATAGGTTATGTATATGATATGAAATATGATGGACTGAAAGTAGAAAGTTCCTGGCCTTTCCAAGCTTTCAGGTCCTGCTTTCCAATATGCTAAGTGTACTGGTTAATTTAATATCCCTCTAGAATTCCACACTGTTAACGGCGCACCGCGCAGGTCGTTAAAATGACAAAAAAATTCCCGCGCACCTGGCACATCTTCCTGACCATGGGATCATCTCATGCCTCTTGCTCAATTTTTTCTAATATGAAGTGAGAAAAATAGCCTACTTTTGCCTAGTATTTGCAAATTTATTCATTAGAAGTTTTTGCCCATGATTTGCCAAAATTATACATGAAAATATGCTATTTTATTATTCTTTAGCTATGAATAATTTGCACTTTCGATTTTTAAATATTTACGGGTGGCCATCTTAGAAAATGAGTATCTTATTAATAGAACATTACTGTATTTATATTATTATATTGATTTAATTGCAGAAAAAAAAACGACCAACTACATATGACGTAATTTTCAACATTAGCTATAAGCATAAAGTTCTAACCGTTGAACCATTTAGCTTCAGGAGACAGCTACCCGTTGCCAAACATTACTCAAGCTCGGTTACACGAAAGGTCCGGCATTCCGGAACGCTTAGGAAGTCACACTCGGATATTTTTTTTCTTTGGCGATACCAATAGAAATCTGAATACATCGACATGGTTGAAATATTGCCTATTGTGTCATGCATTTTGATGTTATTATAGTTTCTTCATTTTCTCTTCATGCGCATTATCATTTAACCTTGAATAATGAGTAGATTGGAGAACAAAAACATTGCATTAACATAACTGAACATAGCGATGTCGGCGCTGATGAGTAGGCCTGATGTGGTCTGTCGCCGATTCTTGTACTTTTCGCGACTTGTTCACAGAATATTGGATGAATTATTGAATGAAAACTATTTATGCTTTTTGCCTTTCTTCAACTTAGATCATCAAAAATTCAATTTACCTAATGTAATTAGAATAACGCAACCAAAATACTCATTAACATGTAGTTTTAAATTGACGCACTACCTATGAAAAAAGTAATTGCCTTATCATTTCAACAAGATAATCTCAGCCTTATAACATGAGATTCGAGCGAACTTAATAAATCTCGATGTATAGTGTATCGAATATACAAAATGTTACGTAAAGCGCCAATTGTACGCAGCGCACGGTTGGCGCGATCTCTTGAGGGTACACGACTCAGCGCGCAATTCTTGGAAATGTCGAGGCTGCCAATTTTTTCTCGAAAAAATGTGTCATTATTACTACCAATGTTCAGAAGCATAACTATTAGGTCCCTGCAAGCCAGTGACAACGAAAGAGCAACGTATAGAACATTATGGGTTTCCTATGAAACTGGAAATAAGCTCAATAAATAACCAGATTTAAACTTAAGTTCAACGTTTGGTATGCTAAATGCGTTTAAAACATTAACGAAGAAGCGAATTTATTCGAACATTGTTATTATAACTTAAGCTGTATAATATAGTTCTTTATATGTAATTCGCATAATAAGAAAAGCCTCTACGGATGAAAAATTACTGACTAATTGAATGCTAACAAAATTCTCTCTTCTAGCCGTGAAATTTGAGTTGCTTTTTTATGCATGATTTCAACAGTAGATTTTTCATGATTATTCAAACTAATTTTACTACAGCCTTATACTAATGTGAAGGGAAAAAACAATTTCTTACAGCAAAATAGACTCCACAACTGGTAGCGAGTTCATCGAAATAAATAAATATTCATCAGTGTGGGCTTCCCAGAACTTAAGAGGTGTGGGACCTGGTGCGGCAAAAACTCTTGAATGTTGAAGTTTTTCTGCCAGTGCTCAAGACTTTGCAGCGCTGCTCATTTGTGGAAGTCGGAGCCAAAAAAATAAAAATCCAGGTTTGCTGGTAATGCCCACTGACCAATGAGGCCAAATGAAGAAACTCTTCGGTTTTACCAAGTCTTTTATTATGTAATCGTTTTGCTAACCTGTTTCAATGACTGTTTATAACATACTGTCTCCGCCGATAAAATACCTTTTGTTTCAAGTCTTACATCATATGATTACCATGAATGTGAATAACTTGTTTTCATGTTCATTATTCCATTAATAATTTAGAAGCACGGGAAGGTTCCAAGTATAAGGTGTAATCAAACGTCTTCTTTGCAGCGGTCTATTCTTCGAAAACTGGAATGAAATGAGGGACGATTGCTTTCATTACTCTAAGGAGCAAAATGCTCTTCGTGGAAACGTGTAAATTTTGTCTTAACGTTGTTAGGGACGTCAGTTTGCATTACTCAAACACAAATCTCATTGATTTTCGTGTTTCAAAGACGACCCAGTGATCCCATCTTGATTAGAGTAATTAAAACCTGAAAAATAGGATGACTGTTGTTAGTTGTTTGTTTAATTTATGTTTGAACACGTCCTCAGCAACGTTTTATCTATGATCTGGTAAGAACTACTTCTCTTACTTATTTCACGCCAACAAAGTTTACCGGTCCATTTAGAATTATGATCAAATTCTAAAGTTGGCGGCTCCTATCCACGATACTTCAATAATCTCGATGAGCATAATTTGCGTAGCATGATTTTTAAATAAAAAAAAAACGCATTGAATTTGAAGCGACATACCGTCCATATGAATATCGTCTTCAAGCAAGCAGTGAAAATTTTATTTGGCAGCGACTGCAATTTATTTATGATGCTTGCGGCAGAGCTTGTCACCGTGTCTGAAGCTCCGCCATTATATCGGGTGACTCGGACTCTGGCCCGGGATTTCCGCTATGGAAACCGGACTGGGAAAAAAGGGTATCAGAGAAACGGGGTGTGAAAAATGATCGCCATGACAGCAGTTTCTTCGTTCTAGTCCGTTAAGGAACAGTCGGTCATGTAAAAATGGATGGATTACTTTATAGTATAATTACTACTGTTTTTGGATGCGAAATCTAAAATCTACCTAAGTAGTATCTGATTCGAGAGCGATAAAAAGGCACCTATTATTTTTAAAATCATGATTTTTCATCAACTCGTAAAGGAATTGAGTTTTCAGTAATTCTGGAAGTGAGATTAAAGGTTTAATAGAGAGACTGAAATCTTGATATGTATAATTAAAATTTAGTACCCCATTTCTACATTACCTTATACCGGTATTATTCAGATGGGAAAGCCATATATTTGAGGTGGACATGTTACTACGAAATCAAACCCAACATGGTCACTCTAATGACTGGTCCCGAGTGCTAGACTTGACCGTGTTTAACTAATGTGTGACCGATGACAATAGAAACGTGTAGCACCTCCGTGGCATTTATTCACATCCAGTAATGCTGAATCATCTGTGTCTGTGTGTCTTTAATTCTGTTTTTGCAAGAGATCTTTGAGTTATTAATTAATTTTGTACGAGTAGCTTGTCCATTCTCCGTTATAAATCTTTGGAAGATTTTACTAATGTTCCCTCGAGTTTCGGCTGAATCAGGCGTCACGAAAATTGCTTCGTATAATAGCGATAGTAATAATAATAACAACAACAATATTAATATTGACAATAATGGAAATAATAATAATAATAGAAGTAAAAGTAATTAAATAATTATAATAACAATAATAATAATAATAATATTAATACAGGAGTTGTTTCAAATGCTTTCGTGTTTAATGTCCGTAATAAGCAAAGGTTCGCATAATAATTGGCTAATTTAGGTGGCAGAATTATATTTCCATTGGACAAAGATAGGCGTTATCTGCAGCTATGGTAGCTTTGCGAGTTTAATCAGGATTTGGCTCTTATTTGAATAAAATATCCTGTCTGGCTGCTCGTCTAGTTATAAATCTACATAGTTCTTTGTCGCCGGTTGGAAGATAAGGTGACCAGAAATATTGAAATAACTTTGAATCAGGAAAATTTCTTTACGGATTCCCAAGGGAGGAAAATGTCTGCCAATCCGTTTTTTAGTTGGCGCTGCACATCAGCTAATCAGTCCAGTAACTTTATATTGTCTTCATATTTTTAACCTCTGATCTGCTGTAGAATCTAAGTGGAAACATCTGTTGTATAATTGCGTTAAAATAATAATTGTATTTAACAAATTGTAAATAATAATTTAGCAATGTTTACATTTAAATAATTGTATTTAACAATCTCTAAGAGCGAGAGATTCGAATAAAATCATTAATAAATGTATACGTTTATGAACAACCACTGGTCTCGTGTGCCACTAGGAAGAGTATTAGAGATGCTTTCATATTACACGAATTCCAAACCGAAACGAGTTAGAACCGATAGAAACCAAACACGAGTTCGGTTTCTATGACCGATCATAACTCGCGTGTCCCAGCCGTTGTTTGCAGTTGCAGATTCAACAGAAAGGCAACTGAAGCTTAGTCAAACGCAGTGAAATCCTTGAGTCCAAACGCACAAAGAAGCGCTTGGGTTTCCCCACAAAAAGAACGCTTCTGTGGATCAGGCATCGCCACATTTCTACTTCATATATACTCATCACTTTCAGTCGTTTAGTGAACTCCGACTTCGTCTTATATTGGAATATGAAATCTTTATCACATGTCTGTGCGTTGAAAACAGTTCAACCTGAGCGTGTCGAAAGCCTAGTCACAATATTAACAATAAATAAGAAATTCATCACTTCGGCGGTGATTACAAAGTTTGGCTTCAACATCAATAAACTCCAGGTACAGCTAATGGTCCGGCCGTAAATTCGTCCGAGACGTGCTAATAGGGTGCTTTACACACCGTGAGAATATTCTGAATTTAGGCAAACTTACAATCACTTATTTCTTGATTATAACGATTTTGCCTTTTGTTCATGCTAGAAAGGAATTTTCTTGACTGGCACACAGAAAACACGACTCATATCGGAGCTCTCAGCCCCCGCTCCCTCCGAGGCCCTGGACGGCGCTGCGGCAGCTATAAAGCCATCGCCGCCCAGGCAACGGCCACGAGTTCTTGCCACGACGCCTCCGAACATCGCACAAAATGTGAGTCTCTCCAGCCACATTGATTAATTATATCGCACCATATTTTAATAATATCTTATATATGTATCGATCAAGTGTACTTAACAGTATAACTTGCCACCTTATTTCCCGGGAAGAACAGGATGAAGATTGTTCTTTCTATAAAGGCGTTGACGCGAATGTTTTTGCTGTCATGTCCTTCAGGTTAGCCTTGAACAAGACAGACAGAACAATTAAATTTTGTTCATTGTCTCGTGTTTACGAAAAATTAAGTTCATAACTTAGGAATTTTGTAGAATGAGGAAAAATTATTTGCTATTATTCACTATTAACTGTGATATGCGGGATGCAAATTGATTTTTTTACTAAGCACCCAATTTATATCAATTTCTAAGACAATCCCATCTCCTACACATTCAACTAATTCAAAAAACTATATTATATTTCAATATTTCCGAACGATAATTTATTTTTTTTTGTTAGTGTTAAATTTTAGATATCATTTCCTACAATTATTTTGATGAATAATTAATGGTTATTATTAAATGACCCAGAAAAGTGGGTTGTTTGCAAAATTATACAATTAGACTTCATGTAAGAATATGCACACAATATGAATTCAAGGTCAGAGCTTAGTTCGCGAGACTTTTTTAGTCTAAAAAATTGACTTGAATAGAAAAAGTGTCCGCGCTCACAAGAAAAAAACGAACTGGCAAATATAAGATGGGCCTCCGCGACAAGTCAGCTTAACCTTCAACAGCTCAGGACAAAAACAAAATGCCAAATAGGGATTATGTTAATCAGAGGCTGAATGCGCAAAGCTGTACACAAATATACGAGGTTGAACTTGACTCCATATAATGCGAGAGAAATCGGCTTGCCAGATACGAGCAGAGACCATGACCGCGAGACTGGGCAACAAAACATCCTACTTGAACTTCGCCCATATGTGTGCTCGTTCGTTCAAATAAGTCATGGTGATATATAAGTTTCCATATATTCATTGTCAAATTCATTAATTCATTGCCACGTGCAAAAATAAAATACGATTAGGTTTTCTGTCAACATTTCATACATATCACTCTAATTGGTGGCTCATAACACATTTCTGCACCAAACTTTCATAATTAAATATTCATGTTAATCCAATTTCAACTTTTCCTTTCGAAATTATAGCTTTACTACCGAATTAAATTACTCTTTGCTTAATCGGTTTTTGTTGCATTTCCAGGAAGCTGCAAGTGACTGCCATTTTCCTCGCCCTGGCTGCGGTGGCCGTACAGTCGCTGCCACAGGGCGCCCCCCAGCAGGCGCGTCCTCAGGCCGCTGCACCCAACGCCCAGGGAGGCCAGAAGAAGATCCCCCTTCATCTCGACCCTAACCTGACCCTCAGGAAGATCTCGCAGAAGGATTTGAATGATTTCCTGGGCAGCAAGGAAGCCGTCAACGAGCTCGTCAACTGCTTCGAGAGCCTGCGCAAGTGCAAGGCTCGAGCCGGAGTCTCCCTCGTCCGTACGTGACTTTCTTACGTGTCGAGGGGAGATTATTATTCCAATAAAAGGGCAAATAAAAATAAAAGTTTATAATTTAGGCCCAAAAATATATGTTTATCTGTAGGTATTACTAGATATTTGATAACGCATTGAATGATTTAAAAAATTTTTCCCAGCTATTTCAAGTTCGAAAATGTTTGTTCAATTTCAAGTAACTGAAAATAATATAGCCAGAGATGTCTTGAAACATTTTATTATTTATTCAAAGTTATATTTTATTTTTATTTTTTTTAATTTAATTTTAATTTTTTCCCGATAAATAGGTAATATATTTAAACTGTTTTGAACGCTCAGGTGACGTGAGGAGCTTGGGCAAAGGAGGCACCTGCAGGAACTGCTCCGACGCTGAGAGGAAACACACAAGGAAACTCGTCGGTGACGCCATTGCCGGACTGCAGCAATACCATCCGCAGGAGTGGAAGCGACTCCTTCCCGAAATCGGCTTCCTTTTGTAAAAGACAAACGGCCAAGGTTTCCGGGGTAAAAGTTGTTATGTTGATGTTTCATGAACTCAATGACTAACTATCAATTCGAGGTGATGGCATCTAGGCCGTCTATCGAATGTTTCTTCATATGTTCAAAAACTTATTCCGCCTCGAAAAATAATTTTGAAAAATTGTTAAACAAATATTAAACACGATTGGAATCAGTACATATATTTGACAGCTGTAGCTATGCCTGAGATGGCGATCTATGACTACTCACAGCGGTAGTAAGTTCCAAGCTGGCTTATATAAAACTTTAAAGATGCATTACGTTATTTTGGCCAAATTTTGTTAAATTAATGCAAAGAAAATGTGATGGTCGCTATTTATTACCCCTTTCGATATGTGATACTTGTGGATTTTTATTAATAAAAGATGTTATGAATGTTGCAAAAGTTATTTTATCCTGTGATTTCATGTCAATCAGTCAGTGAAAAACGTTTTAAATATCCATCAAAATATAACTCATTGACACCTGAGGTTAACACCAATTCGTGTAATGAAATTAATTCATTTTGCACGAACTGTAAGAAGTTTTCTGGGGTATTTTTAAGAATTTCAAATGGGGTGGCTTCCAATCGACCACATGTTTGAGAAATTTAGTAAGGAATTCAGAATTCATAGCTTTGGACGATAAGATTTATTGTAATTTTATTAGAGAAACAATCTTATTCAGACTTTGAAGGAAATTAGTATTCCTTACAGTTGGTGTTCGTCGATTATGAAGACGTCTATCTTGTTCATTATATATTAATTTGCAACACAATCCTTAGTATTCCAAATGCAAAAAGATTTTAGACTGCTTACAAACCTTTGGGACAGACTTTGACGAGATGAAGAATATTCTGTGTTTTCATTCCACTAGATTTTCGATTTTCAATTTATTTCGCCTCGATTTTCGCCTTGTCCAAGTAGTCACCTGATAGGTTGTTTTTGCCATTTGGGCCTTGGGGATAATGCAGAAGGTGACTTTCGTGTATTTAACCTCTTCTGGTCAAGCTGTTGATTGTTCATTCCTAATAGTAGTGGGCAGAAGTATCCGATTTGGGATCTCTCAGTCGTATCTTCAAGGTCTCATGAGTGAACCCTTCTCTCAGAACTGTCAGCAAGTCAAAGCTCGTCAGTTTCGCTTATCTTGTTCAGAGTAATTCTGTTGTTCGCATGAGCCCAGCCGTATATTGCGGACAGGTCGTTTTGCTACCCCTCGCGATGCACCCTGTACATAATTCCTACAGCTGATTCGTACGTTTATGTCTGCAAAGTGAAGTAGGAGAGGGATCAGACCTATCGCCGTTTCCCGTGGCTCCGCACTTTTATCCATGACCTTACTTTATCGGCTTGTAAGATCTCGGTTTTTGAAGTTGTGGAATCTCGGCAGCAGTTCTCTTACGACCTCCAGTAACTTAATTTTCCGAATAGAAATTCATGACTAACTACGTCATATGATTTTCCCAAGTAAATGTGCGCCACATAAAAGCCGGCCACTTCCTCCAGTTTGGATGAAGTATGGTGGTTATGCTCCAATGCCGCGTACACAACTACAATGACTTGCACACAGCTGCAGTGACTTGCAAACAACTGCAGTGACTTGCACACAACTGCAATGACTTGCACACAACTGCAGTGAGCTGCACACAACTGCATCACAACTGCAGTGACTTGCACACAACTGCAGTGACTTGCACACAACTGCAGTGACTTGCACACAACTGCAGTGACTTGCACACATCTATAATGTCTTGCACACATCTATAATGTCTTGCACACATCTATAATGTCTTGCACACAACTGCGATATGAATTTTACACACTTGTACTATTTTTCACTGTAATTTATCATAAGTTACATCAATATTCTTCTCGTGGAACTTCCATCTTTTGTCGATTTCGACGAGTCAATGCTCAATCGCGTCTGGCAGTCTTTTATACATGAAAATATGCCCTGCCCGTACATTTCGAAGTTTAGTTCTAAGCTGATTCTCGATTACTTTCTGTCTCTCCGACATATTGGTTTCCCCAATCTGAACTACTCAAAATACATTTCCTAATAAATTATGCTTCAAATGTATAAACTGGATTAAAGCACGAATTCTATAATATACAGTAAACGAAGACTTAGTTTTACAGTAGACCCTACTTAGATTCAAGAATTGTTAACGGTATTTGATCTATAAATCTCGGGGATAGAAACGCTAGGTTAAGCTTCAACTTTAACTAAAATCGAAACTAAGACACACATTCAGTGCCGAATATAACGGCAGGATCCACACGCAAACTATTTCTATTTCCATTTTGCAGTGTTATTCATTATTTGCAGTGTTTTGCTCCACTTGACTTCAAAAGAGACACATTAGATGACAAGCTGCAAATAATTTTTTTCATAATTTATTCGGTTTCTTGATAACCTTGAGTTTTCACGGCAGGTTTAAAAGAGCTCCAGCGAGTACCCCATCTAACGATCACATACAAGATCCGGATTCTTAGAAAACTTTTTTTGCAATCATTTGGCTCTGAATATCAAGGTTCTACTAAAGAAGAGATCTCAACATTAAAAATTTAAGTGTAAAACGAGTTTATCAATCACAAAACAATTTTTGACTGGCGACAAATCGTAATTTTTTGAGAGATTCCAACTCTGCCAACGAAGAAGCTCAAGCCATCGAGCACGTCCACATCTCATGCTCAGTTTGTTTGGTATTCAGTAGAGGCGGGAAGGCCCAGAACAATCATGAAGAGTTGGGCTTAATTTCGACCACTCAAACAAGATCAAACTGCCCATGCATCTGCTGTTTGAACTGCATAGACCAGAGTTTTTGCACTTTTTGTTCGACTTAATAACAGCTGATCGTTAGAGGAGGAGGTTTCGAGGAACTGGTTTCGAGACCTGGTTGTGGTGCTGCCGACGGGTTCGGCGTGCATTTAACGGCTGTCGGCAAACTAGAATTTACGATAAAAATATGAGAAAACTTTTGAATCCATCAAAGCGAGGATTTGAATTTTAAAACTACAATACAAAATCATCAATTGGCTGAATCAATAACTATTTAGTTCAACAATTAATAATACTCAAGAAGAATTAACTATTAGGTACTAGAAATACCGTAGCACCTATTCAATTGAGAACGAATATTTTGTATAAAAATAATTATACCTATTCCTTTTGTAGTGTATTTTGGTAACGTTTTTAAAAGCCGTTTCAACCTCGTACAAGTAGAAGAGCTCTTTCGCGAAAATCCCATTATTTTCGCGAAAATCCCTAGTACGCATTTCAAACTAAATATTTTTAATAATAACCCCAAAGGTACATTAAAAATCGTCGTTCATCCATTATTCACTCGTTTTTCAAATGATTGTGTTATGGTCAGTAAGTTGAAAAAATTCAGGCTGTAAAAAGTATCAACGAATCCCGACTGGGAAGAAATGCCTCTTGGCTAAAGCATGCAGCGGCTGAATGCTTTGTGAAAGTTGTTTTTTTTTAGCCCAGAAGCCGTTGACCTGAAACAAGAAGAATGGTCTATTAAAAAAATGATTTGCATTTATACAATCTAGAGAAGCGAATAACCATTAAATTGTAGGACATTGCATTTCTGTTACAATTGGGAAAAATGATCGTGTGCCATTAAACCGCGAAAAACTGTTGTTCCGATGCCATCAGCTGCAGCGTAGTACTGCCATCAGCTGCAGTGTAGTACTGCCATCAGCTGCAGTCATCAGCTGCAGTGTAGTGCTGCCATCAGCTGCAGTGTAGTGCTGCCATCAACACTAGTTAGTGTTGTGCTCACAATTAGAACTGTTGTATTTTTCTACTTCGAGATCACTTTTCTGCAGTTTCATGTCACGTTTTAATCTACTTTACCAGAATGATAAGCTTGATAGGAAGACATAACATATCTAATATTGCGGCGATGGGCGTTTAGCTCCATAGAAATCAAATGTCGGAATTTACGGTTTAGATTTTCGGCACGAGCAGGGATTAATACTTGCTTTTATTTATTATTCATCGAAGAATAAAAAGTTGAATGGCTGTAGGGTTTAGGAGAGATGAAGGTCAGTTGGGGCTGGGGAAGAGGTGTGGCTATAAGCGCAACCTGCTCCACTCGGCCAACAGAGGTCGCTGTGCGGTCAACGAGGAAACATGTGAGTAACACTCGAGTCGCGTCTCTATAATCTCATCTTATACTGTGTCTAATGTAGTAGCTTTAGGACGTTAATGATACACAGTTAATCATCAGAGAAAGTTGCGTCATATACGCTGAATATACAGTCTCATGGTTTGAATATGCTCTTAAATCCTCGCATGTTCTAAGTTTCTCAATTTGCTGAAAATTCTAATAAAATTTGGTAATTTGGAATTTTCCCCCTTGATGTTATTTAAAGAGTTTTCTTGCAAGCCGGAGGCATATATTTGTAATAAAAAATTGCAGTCAAGCAGTTCGGTCACCGAGCCGAGCATTTTGAGTCTGTCTTTATTTGGTTGCATGCAGCCAGGGTTACCAGATGGTGGCGAAAGAAAACGGCCAGCGCCGCTCTTTAAAAAATGCACAAAATGACCTTTATTCAATACTTATTAGGAAATTTGCAACTAACGGTTAGAAAATTATATTTTCCTGCATTTAAGTCTACTGAAAAATAATAACAATAAGTTTACTGCCCTCTTCTAATATCAATTGAAAAAAGACACAAGTCGTCGAATTTGGTCGAAAAAAATGCCCATCTGGCAACCCCGGTTGCTTGCACTTAGATTTCCACTCATGCGGTGCTCTCCAGCCTGGAAAAAATTTTCCATATGAGTAATTTTTAGATTTGACGGTCTTGTTGAAGGGGTAAAATTATCTTCAGTACTTTTATTTAGTCATCTAAATAAATTTCAACTGCGGTTGTGAGAGAGTAAACGCCTTCGTATTGGGGACAGTTTTGAATGCGTAACGAAAAAAAGCTCCAATGTGAACTTTACAGTTACTGAGAATACAGCCTTAAATCGTTTACATTTTTTATTAACTCAGCTCCATTAAATTTGAGCATAATCTAAATTGTGAAGCATCTCGATCATTTTTCACTCATGAAGAAACGACAAAATTTTCTCCTTGATAAAGTTGTTCAATCTTATATTGAACAGGAATACAATTTTTAATTTGATTCCTATTAACATTTTTAACGAAAATAACTTTACAAAAACTAATATGTTGCAAAAAATTGAAGCCATCGGGTTTTTTTGAACGGATTTAGAAGGGTTCTTCATACAATTGGAGTGATGTAACTCCAGTCTAAATTCTTGACTGCATCACTAGTTATAAATTCATTTTTGAATGCCTCAGGTTTGCACAATATGCAGATTTTAGGTTCGTAATTGCAACTCCAGAGTTTTTCTGACAATTTTTCCATGAACATTTACGAGTCATTTACGAGACATTTACGAGTCGCAAACCTTGTTTCTCCTCGTTTTAATGCGTTTGTGTTTGAACTAACTTTGTTAAAACTAAATCATATGCCATCAGTTTCTTGGGTTGAGGGAGAGTTATCTGAGAATGAATTTATGCCTTAGTCTAATGATCCATGTGATTTACAGGGCTCGTCAAGCATTGTCGATTGTTGCTTTTGCATTGCTGGTTGCGCTAGCCGTGGCATTGCCCCACAAGCTCGGCACCCAGCACGACCACCCCGAGGAATCAAATGCAAGTGGAACTTCAAGCTCAAGTGATGCGAAGTTCCATCATGAACCTGGCCACATAGGAACTGGCGAGGAACCAGAGACTCCGACTGACGGACAGCAAGAGAAAGCTACTGAAGGCTCGAAACATGAAAAAGAGGCTGAAGATTTAGTCGCCAGTAAGCCCAAAACTGCTCCCCAGGTTGCGGCGGATCAAGGCAGCGTTGCCAAGAAAAACAGTGAAGCTACGAAAAAGTTAGCTGCTGAACAAAGAGCTGGAGTTGCTGCTGAACAAGAAGGCACTGAACATGAGGCGGCTGAACAAGAGGCGGCTGAACAAGAGGCGGTTGAACAAGAGGTTGCTGAGCCAGAGGCTGCTGAACAAGCAGGAGCTGAGCAAGAGGCTGCAGAGCCAGAGGCTGCTGAACAAGCCGGAGCTGAACAAGAGGCTGCTGAACAGGAAGCGAATCAACATGGCGCTGAGAGTCAAAACTCTTTCGCCTTCCTTCCTTCTAACGTTGGCGTCGCCCACCTCGATGCTCTCGCTGCCCAGCATTCTACTCTCCTCACCCTCACTGAGGCTGACATCGACGACTTCTTGAGGAACCAGGAATCTGTCAACACTTTGACTTCTTGCTTCCAGAACCCTGTTCAGTGCCAGTCCGCTCCTGCGCTCGCCTTACTCAGTAAGTACATGTAGGATTTTGTCAAAACTCTCCATTATAGTTATTATCAGATAAGAACTGGTACTTGACACATGGCAAGAATCATATAGTAATGCTAATTTTAAAGAAATAAAACGATATAATCTTTCAGCAAGAAATATAGCTTTATTGAAGACATGACTGTATTTCATTCTTTGAAGGACTTTGTCCCAGAATAACCAATTCGATGCCTGTAATCTAGAATTATCTTTCAAACTCCATCAATAGAAATGCACTTTCGTGCAACATCATTTTGCTTTTCACTTATCCCGATTCTTTGAAGGACTTTTCCCCAGAATAACCAACTCGATGCCTGTAATCTAGAATTAACTTTCAAATGCAACTCCATCATTAGAAATGTACTTTCGTGCAACATCATTTTGCTTGTCACTCATCCCGAATGTTCGTGCAGACGGCATCCACCAGGCAGAGACTCAGGGCGCTTGCGGCTCCTGCACCCCCGAGCAGAGCGCCCACATGGACGGTCTTCTGTACAGGCTCGTCGAGGGACTCTCCACGCGCTACCCTCAGCAGTGGCAGATCATCCTCCCCAGAGTTCTGCACATCGTCAGCAGACTTCAACGATTTTAATGGAGACCTTTTCAACAAAAATATTTTTGTATCCGAAATTCAATACACTGTTTTAAATGAACATGCAATTCTTTACTGGTGTGTTTTATAAAGACCAACGAGGTGGCTTAAAAAAACTCGTTGAAAAACAATAGTTTGAAATAATATACGTATAAAAATTACTTTTTAAAGATCTCACTTCTCAAGAGGCCGGTGTCTCCGATGTTACACATGTACAATGAATTTCTTTTATTTTAGTTTTAAATTTTTTTTGTATCTTTAAACTTTTTTTTTAATTCTGTCAATTAATTCTTGCATTATATCGATTATAAGATTTGTAGCAGACAGAAAAACAAATAACCATAAGTGAAGTTAAAGAAAAGTGTGGCAAAAACGATCAAAGTCATAAGTTTTTTTTTTTAAGCCAATCTGTTAGAATTGAGAGTCCTGCGATTTGAATCATGCTTTGGCAGCTCTTTCTGCTGCGTCAATTGAGGTAAACTGGGGACCTTTCTATGATTTTTACAGGTTTGAAAATAAAAAAAGGTGGAGGGGCTATGTCGGTCCTATAAGTCGATATTCGCGAAGTAAGCTCAATAATTGTTTGCCCTGCGCCATGCGCGAGTGCATTGTGGTGGAGTGCGAGCCCATGCTTCCCCCGAGGTGTTTTTTCAGCGAGTGTCAGGGAAAATTTATCAAAATCCTTTTATAACAAACAGCTGAAAAAACTTTGTATCTCGAGTAAATCAACTAGCAAGATAACCTTCCCATAAAACCTTTCCTCTTGAGCGTTCAGATTTATCTTTGACGGGCCCACTTTCTTAGTAGAGCCATGTTTCATGTGCGGTCACAATCCGCGTAAGAAAATTTTTAGGTTCTCAACCCACTTGTAAGAAATTTCCATAGAACGATCTTGTTTTATTCCTGCTGATCTGGGCGCAACTCCTTGAAACCCATCAAGCGGAGAGCTTTCTCAGGCCCCAACAGCCGCACCATGCAGAATTGTGCAGAACTCACGGAGATGTTGAGGATGTTTTCTACTGGTTTGGTGGTTATTAGTTTTTTTAATGAAATCACGAACACCATCAATGCTTTTCCCACAAACTTATGTGGGTGGCCTGCTTCTGTGGGGTCATTTTTGGTCTCAGTTCTTTCCCGTCTGAAACAACTAATCGATTTGTAGGTTGCTTTTTTATTCGAGGCAATGTCACCATACATGCACTTGTTCCAGATAGTCAATGATTTGGCTGTTCCTCCACCCAAGCTACACGATGAATTTTTTGTTTGACCTGGCCTCAATTTCGGCAGATGTGCCCGTCCCCATCTGTTCATTATAATTATACTCCAAGGTTAAATTATTTATAATTAAAACGTAATGTCCACTATAAGTGGTAGAGACTGATAGTAAAGTACTAGACCTCAGTCAGCATGAACAACAACACGTGACACATCTCGCGATCAAGACCTCTAATATTGGGCGAAAGCCGTGCTTCTATAAAAGGGCCGAGAGCCATAGTATGGCTCCTAGTAACTAACATGTACGCTACCATGTATCTTGCGTTAAAGCTACTCCGACCAAAATGGTCGATGTCTTAGCCTTACACTGCTGTATACACCGCTGTATCTCATGTACTACCACCCCATATCAAGACAAGTTCTTTGGACAGATGGTGTCTTCCTTATCCTTCACGAACTTAGTCAACGAATCCATGTCCGAAACATATTCAATCAGGAGGTGTATAATATCGCCGCCTGGCAGATGCCATGTTTCATAAACATCTGTTGCTTTTTAAACAGCGTCTCGCACTTGTACCATTAATTTAAGGGTTCATGAGAGAATACATTATAAATCTTTGATACAGTATATGATCGCTATGGTGCACTGAAATGATATTCTTTTCATGTAATTTCCAATTTTATCCGATTTCCATTAACTTTTTGAAGCACCCTCATGTTATCCCACCGAGATATCTATTTCCACAATGAGATCATTTTCAGTTGGTTAATTTTAAAATAAAATAGTGCACATTTACATAAACTCTGAAATATCACTTCGCAAAAGGCAAAATACGAAAAAATTAGGACTTCGTCATACTATAATCTAGGAATTACTCATTTTTAAATTTATTTAATTTATTGAAGATTTTGAAGCCAATGAGCCTTAAATCTAGACCAAATAATTTGCAAAATATGAATTAAATTCACTCGATTGTGAATAAAATATTCTTATTTTCTACTTATTGTTACTTGGAAAATAACATGTGAAGATCGTTCTTCGAATGAGATTCAGTGTATTTTGATGATATTTGTTCGGCGTTTTGCTTGTAGCTAAATCTTACACAGTCAGTTAAAGTTGTCAGTATTTTCCATTACACTCAACGCCTATTGGTCAGACGTTTGACGTAATAAAAATAGAAATTATATTTTGTTGCGTAATAAAAAAGGCAATCAAAAGCTGTTTGAATGTTAATGGAAGTTTTTTTGGGGGGTTTGTTATTGACTGCGATGTATCGTTTCTAATGGCGAGTGATCACTGAAATCGCGATTGCAGTTCGCGTTCCCACGCGTCAATTTTGCACGGTTCGCATTATCATTTGCAATGGTGCTTCATGCCGCTAGTAATGACTAGGAACATAATAAGCTGATTCTATCAAGTCAATTGAATAAATAGTGCACTAAAGCCCGAATATATTATTTTATTAAAATTTGTTTTTTTCTCACCTCGTTTCTTTGCTTTGCCTTTAGCCAAAGCCACGCCACGACAATGTGATCTTTGGGGAAAAAAATGCAGTTGATTTTTTCCCTTAGTTTTGTTGATCAAATGAAAATTATTTTTGTTTAATTTTTGCATGATTGTAAGATGAGTATAGAACTGCATGTATTTAGAGCGTAATCATTAACTAATAAATACGGAGTCAGGAAGGAATAATTTTTATTTCATGGTTTTAGTGTCATTTGCGATGCAGTTACCATATCCGTGCAATGTGTCAAAATTAATTGCATCATTAAAAATATAAAACATGTCCCTCAGGGGGAACATTCGTCAGCAGAAGTCAATAATATACCGTATATAGGTGTCAGCTATAAGAAACGTCAGGCACACAGCTAAAATATTACATGGTATATTCTGTTTTGATCATGATAGTTATAAAGTGAGGACAAATAAACAATAAGGTAACGAAAAAAATTTACTGTAGTCACCGATTAAAAATTATACTCTCATTATTATTTATGTTATTCTCTCTGACCATAACTCTCCATGGCTAATTCCTGCATTTTCATTGTAGTATGAAATATTCCATTTACTGTCCGTCATTAGAATGAGCATGGTTGGAAATATCTGGAAATAAATAATTAGTAAAAATTTGAATGTATGAATATATCGAATCTAAACCTCACGTGGAAGTATTTTACGGATTAATAGTTAAAAATTTTTTTCATTTCATCATTTAAAAATGATCAATTCATCTGAAAACTTAGGCGTAATAATATTGTTACTCATAAATGTCGTAAATTAGCTACAATCTCATGACGGTTATTCACCCTCAGTGACAGACAATAAGTACAGTGGATATCCTGGTGTTCCCTCTCAGTGACATACAATAAACCATATAAAAACAAATTCATTATAGACTTGGAGGAGAAACCAAAGATATCAAACATGACTTCGATGCATAATAACAGCATTTAAAAAATAACAACACACTAGCTCACCATTGTTTTCGTCCATAATGAGGTGAAGATGACAAACCATAGCAATGTTGACACAGGCCTACATCCCAAAAAGGATACGTTGCTAGTGAGCACAAAATGACTTACATTGATGATCGCTGCTATGCACAACCACTTTAAGATGTTCTCTGTAGCGAACAACCGTCCTCAAGTTTCTGCCCTCAGTAGCTTACGTATAAATTAAATTAAAAGTCATGTTCCCGGAGAATGCCATACGGCGGTAGAGTGTAATTAAGAAGACTGCAACATAGACGGGTTACTGCAATAAATGTCAATATATTCGTTTTCTTTGAACTGAATCAAGTTAGGGGAGACTGCGATCTATTTTCGCCAATTGCATTACTAAAGGATGGAACGTATAACGTGACCCTGCCATTAAATTTGTGCCTAAATTAAATACATAAAAGCTTGATTATTCCGAATTGTAATACTATTTTGATCAAAATTGCTTATACTACACTATTTCTTGCAATCTTATATATTAACTGCTGACAAACAAATGTTATGAGGTGAATGAACAAATCCAAGAAGATCATCGAAACTACTCTCAAATTGTGATTGAAAGTTTCCTGATGGTCTTCATGGATTTATTAAGCCCAGCAAAAACTAGTAAATAGTAGCAGCTGGAGAAATGGTAGCATCCTAGCATGGTAGGGCACAGCGGCGTGGTGCCGTTTCTACCCAAGTTGGCCTTGAAGCTAACCCAAATATGGCTCGAGCAACGGTTTTTGAAGGCCAGAGATATTAACTGCTTCCCCAATAATAATGATAAAAAATAGGATAACGATTGCGGCTCTCAACATTTCGAGATACTTAGCTTGTATTTAAAGACTTTGATCAACTCTCAATCACAAATAATTAATCAAATTCTATATTGCTCGTTGGTTTCATGTCCTCTATTAGTTTTGACTCTCTGATCGCGAGTAAATTTCAAGAATTATTTTGACTGCATGCACTTCTAACAAAACTAGGCTGTAGAACTGCGTACTGAACCTTGAGCTGCACGTAATTTCGAAACGATACTGGCTTCCCAGAACAGGTGCAATTTACCTTTAGCTTATCGCAGTCAAGAAAAAAAAAATTTAATATAAGATTCAAAGACGCCAGCAGGACTTCTTCGAAAGTTGAAATTAACAGTACGTAGAATCTTTTATTCAGTCTTGTAAGAATTATACTCGTTCAATTAGTAAAATTATAGGCACGATAAAATTTTTTATTTTATTGATTCATAAACGGAAAGAAAAAGCAAATAGCCTTTTTTGTACAGGCTTGATACATAACAGAATTTTTGTTTGTTTTGGATAGTAAATTTAATTTAAGAGAAATTTTCTTAGAGGTTCAGTACAGTTCAGTTCCAAATATTTTTCTTCCAAAAGTGTTTATTTCTCAACAATTTATACCGATGTTCATCATATCGTTCTATAATAATAGAATGATATAATAGAATAAATTATAAATTGAGCTGGGTGTGTAGAGCCAGCCTGTTTTGTGCCTGTTTGAAATTAAAGTAAAAAACCGAGAAATCGATTAAACCTTGTCAGACTGTGCCATTCACGGCATTTTTACTGACTAGTATTGTGTGTGAAACGAATTGTTCGTAATTATGTTGATTTTGGGGCTAGAGTTTGGAGTTTTACGAGGCGTGATTTTAAAGTAAGCTCAGTTTTGACTTAGCAAAACAACATGCAGGTAATTTTTCCAATACATTTATTCACTTGAAAAGTCGTACTCTACTTTTCTGCATAATTCTCATAAATATTGAAGCATTTAGGGTATCTAAAAAACGCGTCTTGACACAGCAGAAAACTTTTCAGCTAATTCATGAATCGTCTGTTCTCTTTCACTTTACAGTCCACTTTTTAAATCAGATCATCACTACTGACTGAAGGTCTCCCACTTTGTTCGTCATCATGAATGTTTGCTCGGCCATCTTTAAAGGCCATAACCCATATCCACATCATGATATCTCTCATCATGTTTTCACCATAAAGTTGACTGACATGAACTGAACACTAAAAGATTAGGACTTGCCAGCGGATTAAATGATTTTTTTGTAAGAAAATTATTTTAGCGATATAGCGATGAGTCACATGAATTCGAGTTATCATTTAAATAAATAATAAAGCGAAGAAAGCTAATGAGAACCATTTTCCACAAGCGGAGAGATGAGACAAAAATTCTTGAGATTATTTCAACAAAAGCTTCCGGAAATTAGAAGACTGGCCGCCAGCCCTGCCGTAAAATTGTCCGAGACGCGAAGAAAAGTCGGAGTGCCGAAGTTTTCTATCTCTGTGATCGGGCTAAGGACATGGTTAATTTTGTCAACAATTTCAATTTCTTTTCAGAATCCACAAAAAATATTGAAATTTAACGGGATGAATTGCTGCATGTTCTAACAGATCCTAATTGATTTACCGGCATTAATAAAATCAGACAACACAAGTAACCGCTATCACATACGAGACCGATGCCATGAAAAATTATCCGACTAATGCAATTAAACAATTACACGCCTTAATTAACAGATTAATTCCTTCGACAAATGACTACAAAATTTTTGCTCTTAAGGGGAAAAGAGTCCAAGACAAGCACACAAAGTGAGCCAAGGACTTTAGCGTTGGCAGAAGCCAAGGTGCTGAGAAGTGCGCTTATAATTCACAACGTCATTCAGGGCCGCATCATTCGCCGACTTGGAGTGCTGTCATCAACATGTAAGGCACGAGTCTCGACTCCTTTATAGAACGATACCTGCTCTTATTAATATCATATATCATCATGAATTAGCTATCATTAGCATTATGGATGATATTGAGATTTTAGTATATATATACAATGAATTACGTCTTTATTTATAAGCAAAATAAAGATTATGGTGCAACCGTATCAATCGAAACACATTTCTAGACGTGAAGAAATAACAATTTCGGTTCATGTAGATGCTTTCCAGCTAATAAAATTCATCATGCACGTCGAAAAATGTTACATTCAGTGGAATCTCAATGGACTTCTCTTTAATTTCAACGAGGGCACTTTTTAGCGTATTTTCTCATTTATGGAAAAAATACACTATTGTGCTCGCCATGTCCGTCTGTCTGCCTGTCTGTCTGTCTGTCCGTCGGTCTGTCCGTCCGTCCGTGACCTCAAGTTTTCGTCGACGAGAAAATGCGCTCTCTGTCACTCACTCCAGTGAGTACTGAGTTATATTTTACTTTATGCTTCGGGAGGCAACATATGTTGAAAAAGTAACTGAATAGATAGATATGAGGTAAGGTATAAGACGGCCATATGCATATTGTATGTAAGGATAGGTAATAGAAGCAACTCATATCTTAATCTTAATACGAGATCGAATGGAAAGTGCAGTCATGCACCACCGAATTTAACACCAATCAGCCCTGAATGACCACAAATTAGGGGCGGATAGAGCCTGCCGGCAGTAATTCGCAACATCATTTGTTTCGTGTATTATAAGCTATATGCCACCGAACACAGGAGCGAGTTTCCTAGAGCGCAATAACTGTCCGCCACTAAACGTTTCATCGAAGCATAGCTTCATAACCTTGCCAGCGCTCGAACAGTAACGAGCGCACGACGTTATGCGATAAATCAGCTTAGTTCTCCTTAGGAGTTACATGAAACCTGCCTCGCACCACCAGACCGCAGATCGAATACGACTTCCGTGTTCATGCGGGGCAACTTTAAATTACGTAGGTTTTTTCTCACGGCCCCTGAGCTATGTTTCAGATAGCAAATCTTTGTTCTAAAATCAAGCGTCCTTCGACCCTTCGATTGTGTGCTGATTCGATGCAAAGGATAAATACTGGTGGCCTGCTTGTGTGGGAAGTGAATGCTAGAACGTTGCTGCGAGCTTTAACTGATCGGTGTAAAATTATTTTGTGTTTTGGCGGAAGTTTTTGGCCCATTACAATCCCGGCTTCTTTGCTGAAGGCTGGTTGGTATTATCAAAGGCTGCTTTTTGAACAGAATAGCTGGCAGCCGAAATGTGACACATCAAAATTTTTTACAGCTATGTAATTGGAGGAAAGGATCATATTAGTCCGTTCGACGCTGGGCAGTGTGGGTCTTTGACGGGCAACCCATGGAGTAATATTGATATTAAATATTGATGATATTAGGGCGTAAAAATTAGGGTACATAAAACCATGTGTTTATTGCGCAGGTTGCGATCGCTGCTTCTGTCCCTGTTTTTTGTGGCCTTCGTCGCAGCGAAGCCGCAGACCAGGACTCTGCCCGCCGGCGCTGCACCGGGGGTGAGGATACACATGTTTTTTCTAGCCTTGGAGTCATTTTTTATGCCATGGTTGGCTTACTGGAATGTGTACTGAGCGCTGCCGTCTGGGCTGAAAAAATTCAGGTCTTTTAAGTATTCTCTTGTGCATTTTTTCGTGAGACAGAAAAACTTCCCTTTGTTCAGGAGTTTAGGATTCATTGGTATTTAAGAAATATTGTCCTGTATGAGATTATGAGTAAAGATTTAGTTTTCATAAAGGCTACAATAGAACTTGAATCTACCTTCATAATTAGTAACTAAAATAAAATTTCGCTTTACGTGTAATGCAGAATTATTATTAGAATTGAAATTATTAATTTCAATTCTTCAGCAAATGCTGAGTAAAACAATTTTGACAAAAATCATTCCAAAAACTTACAGATAAGAAATTGCTTCGAGTGATATAATTGTATGGTACACTTTCGTATTACTTTTACCTTGGTGTACACTGGCTATCTTTCGAGGTAAAATTTAATTAGGGCAGCCAGGAAATTGAACTGATGTACCACTTTAATCACTTCAGCATATTTCAATCATTCAGTACATCAGAATATTTTAATTACTTCAGTACATATTGATTAATTTAACTGCCATTGTACGAATAAATTTATTGAATCCAAAACGGAAGAATAAAAGGGCGATGTAATTTATGTATGTAATGAGTTTAAACATATCTGAACCTTTCAAAAATCTACGAGTCAAACAATGAGACATCGCATTTTTGCTACGAACCTGTCATAAGTCTTTCAATGTGAATGGTATGAAAATATACAATACGGGCTATTCTTCAATGGAACCTGTATTAAATACAGATTATACTAAAAATTCCTACTTGTGAACTTACTAGACTACCAAGGACATTTTCCTAGTCATGCACCTCAAAAGCTTGAACGTGATTGAATTTTTTCTATAAATATTTAATATTTTAAAAATAATTCCGAATAATTTCATTGTGTCAGAACTTGGGTTCGGGGGACTTCAACCTACTGCCCCCCGGCACTCGGCTCTCTGAACTGACCACCGCACAGCTGGACAAATTCTTCGCTAACACCGCGTCCGTGCAGTCCCTCACTAACTGCCTCGTTAACCCTAAGGGCTGCAAGTCCGAGAGCGGCCGCAACCTCGTCAGTAAGTGTCCCGAGCTAATACAATTAATTATAATTTCATAATTTCCCTCACTAACTGCCTCGTTAACCCTAAGGGCTGCAAGTCGGAGAGCGGCCGCAACCTCGTCAGTGAGTGTCCCGAGCAGCACCTAGCTTTTAGAGGACGCAAGTTTGAGGTTGATGAATGACAAGTTGATAATTTTCTGCGGGCGCTTGTTGAAAACAGACAAATTAAACTCAACAGTCGTCGTCTTTCACGCAGTTGTTATTTTCCATTCATTGTTTTGGCTCGTAAATGTCAGAGATTGCCTATAGGAACTTGAATAGAATAATTTTTATAATTTTGCTATTTGCCATTATACACATTCTCTTGAAACTATAATTTGGAATTAGATTCTATGAATCTAATTGAATATTTAATTGTCTCTTGTTATGAGGAAAAACTTAGTCCAGTGTCATTTTTGCTTCCTTCAGATTGATCATAAATTTTCGGAAATAGGACTAAATATATATTTTTAGAATAGGTAACAAGGAATTTAAAAGCAAAGAAAACGCCAAGAAAATTCACCATATCGATTTTGAAAACGTTTCGGAGTCCAGCTCCATCATCAGTTCGACTAAACTAAAAATGAATAAAATCACTTTAAAAGTCAAAATTCAAAGTGATTTTATTCATTTTTAGTTTAGTCGAACTGATGATGGAGCTGGACTCCGAAACGTTTTCAAAATCGATATGGTGAATTTTCTTGGCGTTTTCTTTGCTTTTAAATTCCTTGTGAACTTGCGATATAAGCAGACTAATGATATAAGTACTTATATAGAATAGGTAATTATTGGTTGTCATCAACAAAATAAGGCCAATTTCTACTTCTAGCTAAGGATATCACATTTTTGCGACGTTTTCATAATTGCATCAATTGAAACTTTCTTTTCAGAACAAATCACATCGCTGAAAAGCCGTGGTCAGTGCACGGACTGCGCGCCTGGTGAGCAGCAGAGGCTCAACGAAATAATTTACTATTTCGTTAAGAACTTCCGTGACCGCCACCCCGACATGTGGGACTTGGCGCTGCCTAGAGTCATCCACATCGTGGCCGGACTCGCCGCAAACTGAACACGTGTAAAGCGTTCAATTATTGATTAATATTGAGAACCTTGCATTACGATTTTAATTCTAGCAACTTAATTCTAGATTGACTGGGCATTTGGGAACACATTGACAATTTAAGCTGAATTGTTTTCTAGAAAGTCTAAATGTTAATAAACATATTTGATAATTTATTTTTCTAGCCTTACCCTTACTCTTATAATTATTTTGATAGAAATGTTCTTAAAATATACCACTGAAAAGTGAAAAAATTATGGAAATTCATTAACATATATTCCACAATTTTGTCTGCCTCTGAGAACAAAATCTCGGACAGAACGGAATTTTTCTTCATTACCTGGGATTTCCGGCTGGCAGTAAAAAAAATTTCCTTCTGATTTTATCGACAGTATAACTTGAACGAAAAAAATAGATGAGCCACCCGAAACTCGTTACGAATAATGAGTGTTTTATATTTTTTTTATTTTGATGCGGAGAACACAGGTACCAATAAGCTGAAAATTTTATAGAAAATGATTGCTGTTGAGCGAAGCATTTTTTAAGGGTCTGCAAAAAGTGTTAATTGGCCAATATTGACACTGGTTGGCCGGTTTTGGCAAAGGTGTACATAAATGAAAATAGCTTTAGAATTTCTAGTCCATGAAGGCAGTGATATTGATTCAAGTGGAGTCTTGAATCTCGAGAATCTGTGACTTTTGATATTTTCTGAAGTTAATCCGAAGTTGATTTATAGGTCTCATTTTCATCTAAATTCAAGTTAAAAAGAGCCTGCAGGATTGTGTCTGGACTTTTTTCGTAACAACTAGATTTTTGGAAAAAGTAAAGGTCATTTTGATTTAGTTTACGTTACAATGAAGAAGAACGTGTGCCTAAACTTCTTATATTAGCCATTTTTCATTATCTTCAGTCCATCAAATCAACATAAATGCGCAGCTTGCTGAAGATGTTCAATTCTCAGATCATATAAATTAAATTAATGTTGGAACACGTTTAACAATATACAGGTTATCTCACAAAAAAGTCCCTACTTTTAGCGTTTAATATGACCACTTGAGCGTTTAACAATCAATGTCGGGAAGTCACTCCTCCAAGTTAAGAGGGTTTGCATTAAAAATAGTGAAAAATTACAGAATTGATACATATTTTGCGTACTATGTAAATTGTAGAAATTCCAAGCTTCGAATTGTAGATTCTATATTAACATATAAAAATGAGATATGTGAGTTCGACGAATGAGGAACAACAAATACGCTACCATTATTGCACCGGACAGTGGATAACCTATCATGTCAAATCAGAGAGCATGCCAAATTATTTGGAGCATTCATACCTTGAAAATTACGATATTAAGGATTCATAATCGGGTTGGGAGATTTATCGTTAGATTTAATATTACATTGCTTGGATGAAATGAATCAAACAGGTAGACTCCGACCAAAATAATTAAATTAAAGATTCGTTTTTTTAGGAGTTAAAAATAGAAGGTTTCCAAAGCAACAAATAATATCTCACTTCATCGACGCAAGTATCAAAGAAACACATTTGTTTTTCTGTTCTCGATTTTATTGTCGTCACTTAATTGAGTACATGCAACTGGTTGCATGAGAGTAAACGTACGAAGCCACCGCAGGATCGGCAGTGGCTGTGAAGGGACGAGTTGGATGCTTCAGCGACGACCCCGCTTCGACGCTGCAGGTAGGTTGCTGGCGCTCTCGCACAAAATCAAGAATATCCCAAGGTATTTGAAATGTTACCACGCCACTTATTCTAAGATATTATTTATCTTGACGTAAATTTTGATCTGGAACTAGTCCGTTGATTTGTATATTCCCCAGGATTTTGTACTATTTATCAAAAGTTTCGATAAACCATACACAGCTGTTGAATTTCAGTTGCAGAATTTTTACCTGTTAAATTCCACTTCCCAGGTTTTGATTGTTTTCATAATTTAAATGAAGAGCAGTACAGTAGAGGTTCAGCTCTGAGGGTTAGAGCCACTTATGTGGCCCAGCAAGTTATCTGCAGAGCATCAATTAGCGTGAGAATCAGTGTGGCGCGAACTTTTTCTAAAAGGCTAGGATGGCCTCCTCATAGGGGTCCTTTAAAGATCACCAAACCGTTCCTCTGATAATGATAACGTACTAAACAATCTTTACCGAGCACGACTTTCAGCAGGTCGCATACGTTGATCGTTGGCGACTTTAACCGTCCAGAAATAGACTGGACAGATGAATCCTCTCCAAGAGATTGGAATCACCCAGCATCGCTGTTCTTGGAGTCTGTGCGAGGCTACTTTTTAATGCAGAACATCGCCAAGCCAACCAATTTTAGGGGTGAACAGACGCCAAATATTCTAGACCTAGTGTTGACTAGTGAAGAATCAATGTTAGATGAGCTTCGCCACGAGGCTCCGTTCGGCAGAAGCCACCACCAATCATTATTTTTCAGTATTAAGTGCCATGCAGAAAAGACGCTTCGGAAGACGCTTCGGATACGCTTCGCGTTCAAACTTAGCGAAACGCGACTATGGTAAACTCCGTGAAGCGGTGAATGCGGCGAATATTTCGGACTGTATTAAGGACATGAATGTGACTGATTCATGGTCATATTTCAAAACACGTTTATGTCTGCAGTTGATGCCTGTGTACCTAAGATTACGCTTGGAGGAGTCAAAAAGTCCCAGTGGATGAACAGTGAAGTTATAACTCAGCTAGAGAACAAGAAGGAATCCTACAAGCGTTATTCGCGAACCCGCAGCGAACCTGATTATAACCTGTGTGCAAGAGCTCGAAATCAAGTTAAAAAAGGCTGTCTCACTATATTGGAAAACTTCGAAAAAAATATCGCCAAAAATGCAAAAAAAGAATCCGAAAGACTTCATTTTGTAGGCTAGTTCGAAGTGCAAAACAAACAACGGTATTTCCGATTTGAAAGTAGACCAGCGAAAGATATCTCTGATGAGGGCGAGGCCAACGTTCTTAATCAGTTCTTTAGCAGTGTCTTCACAGATGAGAACTTGAACAGTATTCTAGATTTTAAGGAGCGCCTGGTCGCTCTAAATCCCAAGAAGTCATGAGGACCAGACGGCTTCCTTCCTAGATTGCTCAAAGAATTAGCAACCGTTCCGGCCGGCCCATTGACAGTATTCTTTCAAAAAACCTCGAACGAAAGAACTTTGCCGACCGATTGGTAAGAAGCTCAAGTAACACCATTGTTCAAAAAAGATGACAAAAGTAGCCCCGATAACTATCGCCCTGTCAGTCTGACAAGAGTTGTTTGTAAGGTAATTAATGGAATCTGTTGTGAGGGATAGGATTATCGATCGCTTGACTGTTTACCATCTCCTATCAGACTGTCAACATGGCTTTACTGCCGGTAGATCCTGCACCACTAACTTATTATCTACATTGAACGACTGGACTAGCCTGCTGGACGAAAGGGAGCCAGTGGATATGCAGTGTACCTCGATTTTGCCAAAGCATATGACAGTGTTCCTAATGAGCGGCTGTTTCGTAAAGTGAAGTCCTTGGGAATAGCCGAATAGAGGGAAACGTATAACTCCAATGAATCAGAGATTTTCTAGTAGGTAGACGACAACGTGTCAGTATTAACGGAACCGTGTCAGACTGGGCATTAATGCGCAGTTGGGTGCCGCAAAGAAGCGTTCTTGGGCCTATTTTGTTCGTTGCTTTTATAAACGCTCTACCAGACGTAGTGTCAAGAGTGTGCTCCATGTTCCATGTATGCCGACGACACAAAAGTTTATAATACAGTGAATAATGCGTCAAATGAAGAGCAATTGCAAGATGATCTTGACAGTTTAGTAAACTGGGCTGATAAGTGGTAGCTGCGCTTTAATGCCGACAGGTGTAAAGTACTTCACCTCGAAAAAAACAATGAACAGCAAGATTACAGTATGAGAAGACATGGTTGCAACAAGAGAGTAATGATTGAAAAGTCTAGTGCGGAAAAAGATTCGGGAATTTATGTCAACAAGGGGCTGAAATTTTCTATGCATGTTGTCTGTTGAAACGCAAGCTAATAAATCCAACAAACTTCTTGGACTGGTCAGACGCTCATACGAGTTCATAGATGCAGAAACGGGAGCGCAGCCGTGCACCACCAATTTTGTGCACCAATACGCCCTGAATCGAACGCCTTGGATTTCTCCGGATATCCACCAATCAGCCGTGCACCACTCGGCTTTGTCCTCCTCCGGCCTTGACCACCACCTGCCGTGCACCACCATGGGCCGCGGATAGAATCTGACTTCCGGGCATCGTTAAATTACGTAATTTTACGTTCACCGCATCTGAGGTTAGGTTTCAGATAGCAAAGTTCTGTTCCAAAATTTATCGTCCTGCGACAAGTGGCCGTTCGACCGAGGGCTGGTTCGACCCACGGCCTAGATACGGACGGCTTGAAGTGTTGAAGGCTACGTTCCGGAAGGCAGGAATCATGATGGCATTACATCCAAGGCAGTTGTGGTCTTCGGCAGGCGACCCGGAACAGCCTCACCGATTACATCGCTGGCGCTCCCAGTGTAAACGCGTTCAAGAACAGACTATATAAAGCTATGGAAAAATATATGTTCAGACTTGAAATGCCTAGCACCATATCGAACCGGGTGGACGTCTAGTAGCTATTTCAAACTATCGTCAGTCTTGAAAATATCCAGTCAAAGGACATGCTTTTGGATCTTCTGTGAACAAGTCACGAAAAGTACAAGAATCGGAGACAGGCAACATCAGGCTTACTCTTCAGCATCGACATCACTATGTTATGTTTTGTTATAATTCAATCATTATATAACAATCAATAATTTGCTTTAAATGTCACATGAATTTTCAATTGTCTACCCATAACTATTTTGGATCAAAGGAAGATTTGACATCAATGAGTTACTAAAAGCTGAATATCGGTGAGAACAAATTTAAATTTCAACAGAGTTTTAAGATCTCGGTTGATAAATGAGGCGCGTAGCTAGTCGACACCCAAAGCTGGAGAACATTTTTTTATTATTGAAGTCCAGTTTCTGGTTACAAGACCGGTTATATCCGGACCAAACAGTACGAACACTTCCACGAAAGGCTTAGAGACAACCTAAAGCTGCGCCTGAAACTGGCTGGTAACCGCAATGAAAGAGCAAAAGGTTGCAAGTTGCAAGTCACGCATTGGAGGAGGCCATAAATTCCAAAGTCCAAAGTCCAAACCAGAAGGCAAATTTGACTGGCCTCAAGCGATGCATTGCATCGATGGTAACCGTGACGAGCCCTATTCTTTGATGTTCATGATTCATTAATATTATGAACATTTGGATTCTGGATGTTGTTTGCTCAAAAGCAAAAAACAATGTTAGGCTCTTGCCAGCGAAGAATTTAAGCACACGAAAAGTTTAAGACGCAGTCTCAAACTAACATTTTAAATAACGCACTTGATGAGTTGCGGATGAAATATCAACGAAATTCTGAAGGAGTTTCTATTTAAAAAAAATGATTCCCAACTTTTATTCCCTTCATTTTAACTTCAGTCGATAAAAAATCTACTAATGCACAATCATTCACGACAAAGAAGAAGAATCCAATTGCAAAAAATTTAACAATGAAAGAAATAAGCGCCATCATGTCGGGCGAAGTGACGCACGTTTTGAGCAGTCATTGTTTGCGTGCATTTCTCCCCTCCAATTCTTCTTTGCTTGAAGGATTCCTGCCCCTCGATTCTTTTCCAGGGTATAAATCGAGTTGAAAATCCTCACAGAGATTCAATCCGTAGCAGTTCGTCTCTCCGGCATCATGTGAGTTAAGGAATGGTCACAAGGAAATTATTTGTACATGTTGAACGCTCGGCCTTATAGATTTTAAAGCTAAGAGACTATATAATAACTAGAATATTTTCGTCAATTAGCAATTTGTCAGGTCATGACTTAATATATTTTACGGATTCAAGGTAAACGTATTGTGAATTTCGAATTTTTCATTGATCGAAATCGTACGTAATTACATTAAATTTTTGTTTTAAATTAAAATTTTTTTTTGTAGGAAGATTTTCATCTGCATCATCGCTATCGCCCTGACGAGATCAGCCGTGTCGCAGCAGCAGGTGTGTTCACAAATTCTCTTATAAAAAATTTATGCTATTGATTGTTGTATAACTTATTAATTTTAACCATCATCAACATTTCTTGGAAACCTTTTAATCTACGTGATTCTTAGAATCTACAAAATTATTTACCACAAATTTTTGCAAGTTATCAATTCCAAATACCATTTTGTAATCATCTATTCGAGTTTTCAAGTTATGGGTATTCAAAATACAGCATTTTAAAAATAATATATATTTCTAATTATTTCCTAAATTAAATGCGTAAATGAGTAAAAAATACAATTTTAGCAACCATCAAGTGTTGAAATTTAATTAGCTAAAAGATTTAGTGGAAATTTGTTTCAATTTGGAGCCAATTGTTGCAGAAAAAGGGATAAATATTATATAACTTTCATCCCCAAAATCGCCGCATGGTTTACCATTCAAAGTTTCGAAACTTTAGGTAACATTTAAAGTCTTTGCATGCTTTGAGTTTTCCTCCGAGCTCATTTTATTCTTTCTGTACTATTCCGTAGATTAAATTAATAGAAAAGCCATGAATTTACCTTACACATTAATATGTGTATTATATATCTGGAACATATAGTTTAATATATATATTACTATGACACCTATCATTCGTATGAAGACACTATCGTAAGCTTGTAATTTTATGCAGTGTTTGTGTAATTGGCAGCACTGTAAAAAAATTCTTAAATGAGTTTATTCTTCTCACGATCAGGCGCCGTCTGGCTCGTTCGACCGCCTGCCGCAGAATCAGGCGATCAGTCAGCTGTCGTCTGCGCAGATGCAGCGCTTCTTCAACAACGCAGACTCAGTGCGGGTGCTCACAGGCTGCTTCGCCAACCTTGCCGCCTGTCCTAACCCCACGGCAAGCAGCATCGCTGGTCAGTTACTATTGATATTTAATTTATATCTTTCAATTAAATTAACCAGTTTGTTGGAAATGCTTTCCTATTATTTCGTTTTGAACGAAATATCTGAAGAATTGTGTATGCGCAAATTCATTAAAGTTGTCTCTAAACAATGCTGACTATTGAACTCTGTATTTGGAAATCCAAAGTAAGAATTATTACTTACTATGTTTTTCTAATGACAAAATGTGAGAATTAATTTCAGAATAATTGAACGAGAAATTAAATTTTTCAGGACAAATCCTGAGCCTGGGAGCCGGCGGGAGCTGCGCCCCCTGCAGCGCGGCGGAACAGAGCAACATGAACGCGCTGGTGAAGTTGTTCGTGGAGAGCTACCGCACCAAGTACCCCGCGCAGTTCGAGCAGGTCAAGCCATACATCGCCCACGTCTTGCAGAACTAAACTAACCTGCTGGTCGCATCACTAAAATTGTGGAACATGATTTTAACCTATTTGATTACAAAAAGGTCCGCTTATAAATTTTAGCGAAGCAAAATTTGTCCTACAAATTGAGGCACGTCAGCTGAACTTCAAGTGATAGTTGATCATTGAAATTTTAATATTATTAGGCTTCTGGTGAATTTCGTCAGGAAAAAAATGTTTGGCATAAGGGAAATAGTAAATCATGGAGACTGTCACGATATATTTCTTTATCCAATCTGAATAAGAGAGTATTTTTTCGATTATCGTAAATATTGAGAATTTTGAGCGATCATTCGGTGTCAATCCAATCATGATTGCATAATACGGCCTACGTTCTCATTCCATAAACCCACAGGGTTGAAATGGAAAGGAATTTTTGATACATCGGATTTCATTCATTGGTTTCAGTCTTTAATATTAACAGAAGTTGAGAAAAATTGTTACAAAATTTATTAGTCATCTTGCATGTCACACGTAATAAAGAAGATTTTCCACGCTTGTTTTACACACGCTCTGTTCCCTGATATTTATCAGTGTAGTGCTGCAAGTGTATGGAATGCTTCATATGAAACTATATCGTACTAAAACAATGAAAATTTTAATGAGAAAACTACATGGAGTGCCTTCATATGAAGTACGTCATGATGTCAAGAATGGACAATAAGTTTATTTTAGATCGCAAATTGCTTTAATGATCTGCAGATTAGAACCCTGAGGCACTAGTTGAAAGGCGATGTTAAATGAAACGAGTTAAGATAATTGTGAATTTCTTAATGTCTGTATTAAAAAACAACTAGCACAGTTTTTCAATATAATAGTACTGATACAATCTGTTTGTACATCGGTTAACTTTTTATCATGATAATTTATTTTATTTTATAATAGTCGAAAAAATTCACGTCCAGGGCCCGATTGCAGTAGGAAGATCAACAATATTAAAGTTTGAGCTGATTTTCAAGACCACATTCAAGATTTATATTTTAGTGATTGCGTATAATGTTAAATAATTGTAACTGAAAAGACGTGGACTGCTATTTTTGTGAAGCTTACTGCATGCATTCACCATTTTCAGCCATGGAATTGCGAAAGCAAACTCGAGGACTCCAATTTTGGGATAATATGAAGTCGCCTTATGAGAACTACCAGCAATCTGCGCCATTTATACCTCTCAACTTTGGCGTATATGGCTAACTTTTGATGAACTACAAAAACTGCAATCAAAGTTCATCGAAGTTTTGATGGTATTTCTGAAGATGGTTGATATTAGTTTGGGAAAAGAATGACGATGAAAATTTGCTCATATGAAATTCAAGGACAACGACGGGACATAAACAACCAAGTGTCCAGATCGCATAGCCTTCATCAGGCTCTCTCAATTACTGGCTCCTTTGGCCTTCATCACTATGAAGGCTAATAACATTCAAGCACTGATCATCGGTTCCGCGCTTGAGGTAAGCCTAGGCCCAAGTTTTTATGTGTGGGGATTTGTTCGTTTTTGTGGGGATTTGGTCATGTTTTTATGTGTGGGGTATATGCAGTTTGGTCGGTCCAGATTACAGTCTCAGCTCCTGCGTGCTTGCAAGAAGAAAAAATGTCGGTATCAGGTTTTCAATATCTTTTTGGAGACAATTTGTGTTGGGCATTTGAACTCAACGTTCAAGACATCGATCGTACTTGTATATTAAAAATTTTTTATTTGCCCTTATAAAAGTAACCCTTAGAGAGATTTTCAAACATTAAATCATGAAATTTAATAATATTTAATTCCATGGCGATTTTATTGATCATTGAAAACAGGTTGGTTCGTTTGGATCATAATATCAGGTAATTATACTGCATTTGCTTTCTTATGGCGTTTTAAAAAAATTAATTGCATCAAATCTTCGGTTAATGGAGAAATAATGATAGACCAAAGGAAAATCATTGGTTTAGTTTTTTATAACTACAAAAAATGGATACCGGTCAACAACCGAGCCGTTTTTACGGTATTATCTTTAATTGTCTACGACTCTTACATGTTAACTGGTTTCTCTGCATTGCTTTCGAACAATTTCTTTTTAATCCAAAACCTCACTGCACTGCGCCTGTGCTTGAAGTACGACTGTTAGGGTCATGCATTGATTGAAAAAGAAATGTAATGCATATTCATCATATATACTTGGGCTTGAAATATGTTAATAATTATTTTACATCATATGAAACTGAATATATTAAGGTGGTGTAAAATTTATCTTTATTATTATAGCCAATGACCTGGTTTCCACATGACTGAAATCACGCTGCAACATAGCGGAGAGAAACGAAAAAGTATTTCAGTAATGCAATTCATAATATAAATTATCTCCCTTTCGGAAAAAAACATTTTAGTCTATTATGCCAACCACTAATTATTGTTAGGTTTTATTTAGAATATAGTTACGCTCAATTAGGGAAAAAAGGTAGTAGTGATTTCAAAATGGCTGCTATAAGAACGTACGAAATTATGCTCACAAATATTATTTGTATGATCATGACATGAACGTACACTTTTGTTCAGGTGAATAAATTAAAATCATTTTCTATGTTCATAAATCCAATAACATTTTTAAGTTTTTAACTAAACTATTACTCAGGACTATTTACTCAGAGAAACGACTTATTGTATGCGAATTTGAGAGCAAGATTTAGAAGATGCTTGCGATTACAATAGGTATTGAGGTTAGGATCGATACTGTTATTACGAATGAAGTGATTGAATTCAATAATGATTTCCCTCGGATGTCACCCTCGAGGATCTGGACATATTCTGGAGGACAGCGCATCTGTGCTGTTCCTCACAACTGCCACGTCAACCGTAGAGGATAGCGTCGCTCAACCACAACAAAATGCTGTCACAACCTCGGAGACAAGTTTCACAGACAGCATAGCCTGGTTTTCTGTAAATGCAAGTTTGGGATTTATTGGCGAAAAAGATTCTCCGACAATCAAAATTGTCTCTTATATTACTGCTAGTCAGTGGGATGGATTTTGCGCTGCAAATTTAGATCGATTAAATTTTATTTCGAGACGGGAAAATCAACAAGGGAAAAATATTTTGCAATTTAATACAAACGGAATTTTCGTTTCTGTCATTAATGGAAATCTTGAGCTGGATGGATTTTTTGCAACAATGAATTTATTTTGTTTTCAATTTAATCCAGAAAAAAAACGAATGCATTTTTTCATATTATGATAACTTTTCATGTTATTTAAACCAGGCATTCGAGCTCTAACAATATTAATAGAAAATAATTCGATAGAGATTATGAAACATGTATCATTGTCTATATTTTCCTTCCGTCATGTTTCAGTCATCCAGTTTAGTTACCTCAGTTCCCTGTATTTCTTTTTCTAAATGATATTAAAATTACTTTCTAAAGATTGCCATGAAAGTATTTTTATCAGTTTAGTTTCAGGGCACATTTAGCTAATTTAACTAATCACCTCACTAATTTAATAAGAAGCAATCTTATAGCGTCAGGGGCACTATCTCCGCCCCTGGAGAACCGGGTTATTCTGAGTTCATCACCAAAATGCTTAATATTATCCTTAAATGCCATTTACGATTACTTACATTCATAAAAAATAGCCAGAATAAAATTTATTTCTCAGTTGTCATTTTCAGTTGCAATTTATTGAATGAAGGAAACTCATAGGCGATGTTACTTCCGAAATTTTTTAGCTATTATTTAACAAATTGTTGAAGTTATTCAACAAGGATACCTCAGAGTAGAAATTCCAAGTTTTACGACAACTGAGAGAAATTATAAATATATGGACCATATTTTATCGACGAATAACGATGAAACGGATTTCACTATCGTTATTATCATTATGAGGTTTTAATATTACATATAGAATTTGTAACATGGATAACATGCGTCCTTGAAGGCTAATGCTAATTTATTCGCTATAATCATTTGGGATGTAAATGATGATCTTGGAGACATATGTTGAGACGTTTTCAAGGAGAACGGGATAAAAAATTGTCTGGTTTCGATGATGGCTTACAAAAAATGGTGCAGTTTTTAATCGTACTCAAGGTAAGTTGTCGGACGAAAATTTTGCAATTTTGAGCCAGCCATCGGCCCGGTTTCTCGCTTCTATTTAAAACTTTAATACATTAATCGCTTTCAGCGATAAATCTGAGGCATCAGTTTTATTCTAAAAAAGAGAAATTAACATTACGGTTGAATCATCATACTTTGATAATTGTTCTATTTCGTATATCAAGTTATCTAAGGACTTTTCGACGATTTTTAAAGTAGTTTTTGGATCCGTATTCAAACAGGTTTTTGGCACAAGCATTTGATCAAATTGACAATTAGGCTGGTAAATAATAAATCTTAGTGCATCCGCTTGACCAGAACAATAACTACTTTGGATGACATGCAAAAATTCATGAAGATTTCAAGGCTAATTTGAGATGATAAGGAAACAAGGAAGCACAAATATATATTGACAATTTTTTTATTAGTTTTTTCAAAATATCGAACAACATTTTTCGTTTGCACTGGTAAATCGAAAATCAGAGTACCCTATACCAATGGACATTTTTATTTCTTTAACGACGTTTCGAATGTTTTTTATCATTCATTATCAAGTCGCAAAAAGAATCAAAGCATCGAAAATTACTCAGAAAACAGTCTCAAGGTTCTGACAAATCTAGTATTTTGAAGGTTGATGGCTGGAGTCCTATCCTTCATGATGAGAGCCTCAGCTATCGCGAGTCGGTTGGCGTCGGGGCATCTCATGACGACGCTGGTGCATTCTTCCAGCACCGTACGAGTGATGGTCTCGTTGTGGGCTTCCATCAGGTGGTTCCTTGGTCCACCAGACTGAAGGCGGCACGTGAGACGTCGGCTTAATGTCGTAGTTGTGAGCCCGATGTAGTCCATATTGGGGAGAAGCCTACAACCCTCTCTATTGCAGGTAAATTTAAAGTCTACATTGGTCTCTTGGAAAACTCCCGTTTTTTTGCAGGTGTTATTGTTCATTACAAGATTATGTATTTTCTTGTTTTTATAATAAATCAATAGTTTAATTTTATTATCAGTTACGTTCACGAAGTTGTTGTGAACGATAGAATGAAGGATCGTTCATCTGCTTTATATAACCGCTGGTCATTTGGTTCTCATAGTAGATGGTTGCGACGTTTGCGTCAGTCTCTGGTT